TGATATTGTTGGATTTTCAATCTAATGTGCCGACCACATAAATAAGACCAGTGTGTATAATCCAGGGGATTCTCTCTTTAATAAAGCCCAGCTGGACAGCCATAGTGCAACACTTGCCGCCCTGCACCTAGCTCAAACCTGGACCTACTCTCTCCCTTTCCCATCACTCTATTTATGTGCAAATTGCCCAGACTGTTAAGGCTGAAATAGGACGATATTGTGGCGCTTTAGACCTAATTGATTTTTCAATGTTTTCTACCGAGAGGCCTCCTGCTGCTGCAAAACCTCATTACTGTACTATGGAGCAGTTTTGATTCAATATACCCCAGAACGTTTACAGATAAAGTTAAACAAAATCCAGCCCAGCACATTCGTGCACACAGCCAGAAAGAAATCCTTCTCAAACCGCTCTCCACTAAACTTGGTTACTTTTCTTGATGTTGAAATTTAGGCTCTCTATCCCTTTTTTTTTGTCTTGCTGTTACATGAAGGGCTATTCATTATTCATATATTTATAATGATGATAGAGGAGAGAGAGCTTTTGGGCCTTTGTACCTTCATCATTAGCATCCTAATTACCCTTGTTTTCCCACAAAGAGGAAATGTGGGGAGGGGGAAAATGTTGGAAAAGGACAAGAAAGGAGTCAGTGGCTAATGGAGCCTATTCAAAAACAAGTTATTTGCCAAAAAAACCCCTAAAAATATCACACCTTCATATTCATTTTTTTCCACCCAGAGAAACTTCTTAGTAGCCACTCAGGTGGGTAAACCTAACTGTGAAACAGCTGATCCGTCACTTTCGTCCAGACTAAAATATCTGAACAAGTGTTAAAATATTGTCTCCAAATTTTGCGCAGAGACTCTCCCAGAGCCTTCCATTGTGTCTGCAGACTCTTATTCTGTTCACATTTCGTTCAGACCTAAAATAGAAAACATGGTTAGAGAATTATCTTTCTCACATTTGTAAAGCAGCAAGGTTGGCATAGCAAATATATAATTTTCTGTGTTGCAGAGGTAAAGAAGAAAATAATCATCTGTGTTTCTGACTGCACGTTGAGAATCTGCTGTGCGGTAATTTGCCTTATTAAGTGTTTATTCTGTGCCACTGTGTGCTGTGAAAGCACATTTTCAGTCCACGTTTGCTTGCCTTGCTTCCACCATGAAAAGGTAGCACTATTCTGAGCTGCACCATATAACTTTGCTATAAGTCATCCTACAGCTGTCAGAAGCACGACCTCGAGATAGAGACTCCTGAGAATACATCATATAGGTAACTGCGTTTATGCCTGTGCAAATTTGTATGTGTCAGTATTTTAGTAAAACATAAGCAATAACATAAGTGCTGCAAAGATTTCTGCCAACTGAAACAAATTAGTCAAGAAAATGAGACATGAAATAAGGTTTTTGAGCCTTTGCACTGCTGGTTTCACATTTAATAACCTTGGCAATAAAGGCTATACTCTGTGACAATTACTGTTGGTGTACAAATCCAATTTGGTCACAGATGATCTGGGAAAATTAGCTGCTCTTACGTGCCACAAAACGGTTTTGTTTATCATTTCTGTAAATCAAAGATTAAACCTGAAGGGATGGGACATGCTTGTAGTGTCTATTTCATCATGAACACATGCATTAGTAAGGCTGATCATCTACCACAACTCACTCACAATCTCATAAATAAATTATTTTTCAATTTTGTACCAAGTCCCTAAAACTATTGTTTTTCTGCTCCTACTCCTGCCTGGTGAGATCTGATCCCAATTAAAGTAACTGATAAAAGTGGAATTCATACATGAACCAAAAATGAGCCAAACTAATTTGCATCTCTTGGAAGGAAACAAATCTCGGACCTCCGGGGCAGGTTGTTATGTGAGTAAGCTATTCATTGCATTCAGTCCTAAAGGCTTTCTATACAGTCATCTGTTTGCTTCTCGCTGGGCTTCACATTCCCACACAAACTGCAAAACAAACTACATGACAGACAGCAGCAATATCAGAGCTCTGCTCAAAATAATGAATAACTAAATAAATAAAAAAATGTGGCTTGCGTGAAAAGATCCTGTATAAAATTACACCCCATTTCCCTCAGAGCAATCCCTGCTATTTCATTTGAGTATGACTTTCTTCTTTCTTCTTCTCCAGCAATACCTACTGGTTAAAAATCCACATGAGTCCTGTTGAGCAATTTTGCTACCTGCACTCCCCTTCACCCTTTCTCTTAGCGAGCTCCATATCTGCATATGTATCAACACTTGCCACTGGAGCTGAATGATAATCTGAGATCTCAACATAATATAAAATATCTTTCTTTTAACTTTTTTATTTAGTTGTAACGCTGTTTGTTTAAGTTTCGATAAGCCACGAACAACAGTACGGTTTAATTCTCAAAGGTTATGCCTACTGTGATGAAGATTAATGTCCTTTGCACCAGCAGCTCGACTTGAAACACTCCACACCTTCCCTCTGTGCTTCAGATAATAAAATTTAATTACTCTCCAAATAAAAGCTGCCCTGTATTATTAATGTAAAAATACTTTTTCTAACAACTGACAAGAAGAAATTAAAGATCCATATATCATCTGTTATATCCACAATGTCATGCCGAGGTCTACATGGCAATGAGTGTGTAAATTAATGCAATACATGCTAAGACTCTCCTGTGATTATGAGGCGTGACAATTTATCATTTTCATCTGATGTTCACAAGAACAAAAGTCACTTTGACACAGAATAATTATGTGTGATTCATTACAGATGCATGCCTGCATATATAGGTTTGTACTTAGTGTAGTGCTTCACCTCAAGGGTCATATAGTGTAAGTCTAATAGATTAATCAATTGACTTCTACAGTAGTGCTGTGTGTGACTTTGTTGTGTAGTAAAACCTTTAGATTTCCATAAAATAATAGATTTCAGAGTGAAAACTTTAGGTTTTAAAGTTAGACTGAAGGAGTCCGGGAAATAACCTAATGTCCTCAGAAGGGATGGAAACGTGTGAATGTGTTTTTGACAAACGTTTGTGTTCCTATGCAAGTGTGAGTGAAAACACACTGTATGCCTGCGCCCTCTCCCAGTATTGTGACATTGTTTTGACTGCGAAGTGACAATACAAAGGCCTCCTGTTGAGAAAGTGAAGAGTCTTAATTTTTCATGAGCACTTTGAGCTCTGAAATAAATTATTGATGTCATTCTTTTTCCAGGGGTAACAAAATCTCTCATAACGGCTTTGTTGTTGGTTAACTAGAAGCTGTTCTCTTAAAGTAAGTTGTGGGGTCAGTGGCAGGTGCTGGTTTTAAGTCCGGAGTTGTCTTTTTCGGGGTGAGGTGCTGCGACTGAGAAGGGCAAGCTTGGCTGTGCCACATGACCAGTGAAGTGAGGATGCACCTTTGCAAAGATGTTCTGAGAAAACTGAAGAAAAAAAAGTTTATTTCAGAGTTGGTGAGTGTGACACCTCAGGATAGTAGATCCTGAGGTGTTACACCTCGGGCTTCTAGCTTCAGAGACTCAAGGTGTTTTCACACATAGACTGCATCTCTGAACTTTTGTACATGCTATACATCATTCAACAGAGGTGCACATGAAAATGCAAAAGTCATATCGAATATTAGCTACTCTTTAACCTGCCAGTTCATTAATACAATGATCCCAGATTCCACCAATAGGTGAGAAGCACAACTAATATTCCCCTGTGATCTCTGTTTGTGAATGAGTTTCCTGCCTCCTTATAGTACTTCCATATAGTACTTCCATATAGTACTTCCACTAGCATCTAGAGTGGATTACTTCTTGCTGTGTGCTACAAGGACAACTGCGGGAATCATCCTAAGCAAGAAGCGCTTCGAGAGCGCAAACCTGCAGCAGCTCGCTCTCTGTGCAGAATTTAATTTGAAGGGAACATGCAAACGCTACCAAAGACATCAACTAATTCTGATAAAACCTAACAGAAAATGGCTTTAGAAATTGACTAATGAAATGTGCACATGGGAAAATGCTTTATGGTTTTTTCACCACTTCTCCGTACAAATCAAACAGATGAAAGCGGCACAAGACATTATTTGCTCTCAGCCTCACCTAAGATGTGCATTTAGAAGCTTCAAATGTCGATGAAACGAGTTTTAGGAGATGAGTAATCTCTGACTCAGCTTTCTACCTGCAACTCCTTTATGAGACAGAGACATTCCTTGAGGAGACTGCTTATATTTTTTAGCCTTTCTTGGGAGGAAAATAATAATAATAATAATAATAATAATAATAATGGATTGCATTTATATAGCGCTTTTCGAGAACCTCAAAGCACTTTACAATTCCACTATTCATTCACACACTGGTGGAGGCAAGCTACAATTGTAGCCACAGCTGCCCTGGGGCAGACTGACAGAAGCGAGGCTGCCATATCGTGCCATCGGCCCCTCTGGCCATCACCAGTAGGCGGTAGGTGAAGTGTCTTGCCCAAGGACACAACGACCGAGACTGCAAGCAAGAATGGGTGATCAAGAATATAAAAAGCCCCTCTCTTAAGTGTTACCTTAAATGACAAGAGAGAATTTGTTCTTGCCATGATCTGCGACACTCAACATCCTAGGTACAATAATTTAATTTATGTGCGAACAAAAAGATACGACAAAACTCAAAGTTTCTATTTGAATTATGTTGCCGTTCAGACGTGACATGTAATTTCATTTGTTTAGGTGCTATCATGCATAGAGAAACAGAATGAAAGGAAGAATACAAAACACCCTGCGGACAGTGACCCTCTCCTCAACACAGTAAAGTTTCAGCTTTTGAAAAACACGGTGGTTAATGAAACATGAGGACTCGATGGAAGTGAAAAACGGTTACAAGTGTAAGTGCGAATTAGTGTGAATAAAAGTTAATCAAAAGGACCGAGGGAGGCTGACAAAAAGAAAATTGGAAATGAAGAAAAAAAGATAAATTGCCAAACGAGTGTGGGAAGTCAGTGTCTGCAGCGCCTTTGATGGACAGCCTGTTGCCATGGTTACCTGAGTGTTGTGCGGAGCCTCCACGACTGGAGAGTGAAGGAGCCTGGAAGGCATAGACAACATCGCTATCAGCAATTGCAGTCAGGTCGTCTTCATCTGAGAAGGAACGCCGGAACCCCGTGGAATACAACTCCACCAGGATGACCTAGAGAGACGGCACGAGAGAGAAAGATTACCCATGTTTGTTTCTACAAACGTGCCTCATGCAGTGCTTGCACAGCTCGTTTCTTTCGGTTTCCTGCAAGAATGTTTCGGACCTGAAAATAAAGGAATAAACACACACACTGAGTAACACTGCTGATCAGGTACAGAGAGAGATTACACTTTGTGACTAAAACATCAGGACAAACCGTGACGATACAAGCATCTGCAAAGGGGCTATAATTAGTAAAATGTGTTTTCAGCGATGTGTATTTCCTAGTTCAATGTTCAGGAGCTTGAATGACACTGCAAATCACCTTTGTGACTGTTTTATGGATTTAATCACTGAAGTACAAACTGGATAGTTAGTTGTGGTTGGATGAGCCACATGATTGTAGCTTAATTAGCTTGACTCCTGCCAAGAACCTTTAACATGTGAGATTTTCTATGTCCTTTTGCTCGTATCTAACCATGCATGCAGTAAAGAGTGTCATGACACTTACTGCTGACAGAGCAAAATGATGATGATGAAGTGCCTGAAGTCTAAATACAGTACTCAGTTAAATATGTACACTTTTTCTTTTTTTAATTTAGTCCCAACAAACAACATGTTAAAAACCCCCACAAAAGACTGATGATCCTGTGAAATAATTTATGAACCAACAGAGTTGTTATTGCTTTTTAATATAAATCATTTTTATTTTATTTGTGTCTATTCAACATTTAAAAACACCGTAAAACACCAGTTTCACGTCTTTGTGGCATCATGGTAACTGTACATTTTCCCGCACAGAGCAGTGCTATCTTAAATCACGTGATCACATGACATGGCAAGATGATGTCCAATCAAAATCAAAATATTGCGATGATCATATACCTGACAGATGAATAACTGCTTCAATAGGAGAATTTCTGTTGACAACATGTCACTCCACAGTCATCAAATACAGGCAAACACCAAAGAGGCGCCTCTGTTGCGCGATGCAAAAAGCATAACAAATACTCAGTGATGCACAGCTCAAAGCAGTCCTTGAAATCGTACAGCTGCTGTGATGCAGTGAGTGATGTGTGTGTCGATTTATTCTCAGCCCAGCACCTGCCGATACTTTGGTGTGGATGCCTGTGTATTTTTTCCCATGTTATTCCAGGTGGCAGTGCAGTGGTTAGAAATGTAACCTCACAACAAGAAGGTCCTGGGTTTGAATCCAAAGGGGTGCCTTTCTGTGTGGAGTTTCCATGTTTTCCTGTATTGACTCTCTTCGGGTACTCCAGCTTCCACAGTCCAAAGAGATGCATGGGGTTAGGTTAAGTGGTGAATTACCTAACCCCATGCATTACCTGTAGGTGTAAATGTTTGGCTTCCTCTATGTGTCAGCCCTGCAATAATCTGTATATGTTTATCTGATCTGCCATTCAGTCACCAGGCTTTCACATAGCTAACACACAAGACAACACAGATTTTTAATGAAGCAAAATCTTTACTGTGTGAAGTGTGTTTCTGAAGTATTATTGGCTTTTTCAATCCCTAAAAGCTGTTGGACTACTAACAAGAACTAGTGGGAGTTTTGCTGCCCTACACCATCAAGGGCCGGTGAAGAGTGTCATTACTGCTCAGCGCGCCAGAATGAGGTGAAGAAGACACCCTCAAAAAAGGACTAAGCTGAAGCCATAATGTGAAATTTATACTTCACCAGAAGCATTTTTAAAAAGCACTTTTCAGTTTTACAAGAAAAAAGACCAAGGATAGGGGCTAATTACTCGATCTATTGAATCCAGCTCAACTAAATGTCCTCAACCGTCCCACTGCTATTAAAGAGGAGTGCATCTGATTCAGTTTCTTGTCAGTGTCTCACACAAAGTAAACGAGGCACTCGCTGCTAAAAAACAAACAGCACTTTCATGTTTAACTCATATTAATGGTACTTTTTTTCTTTTTGGAAAGCAAACTTTAGATATGGAGCGTCTTTCTGGCTTCATCCTTCCCATGTCTGTCTTGCACAGTGTACATTGTATATTTTCTCATGATGTCTAACAAGTTTAATTGCATGGATGGGACTGACACTGAGCCATATTACAGGGAATAATCCTCCAAATGGAGGCAGCTGCACTGGACAAAAAAAGAGGGAATAATTGCCTGCATGTTAATCTAAGCACTTTGAATCCCCTCTGAATGGGAATCCATCTGTCTTTAAATTTCTTTTTGTCAAAACCACAGAAATGATCACAGTGTTACAATTTTACTTTATTTTATTTCATTTTGTATTTACTTTGTCTTCATCTGTTATAGTTCAGCTGTTCTGCCCTTTGTCTGCAATTCTTTTGTATAGCTTGATGGGCTTATTGTGTAAGTTCTAGTGTATAAAGGTTGATGTACACCAAACCGCACCAATAAAAAAATATATGAAAATATATTTGTGCAACAGTTAAGATAACTCATACTTGGATACATACACATTAGAAATACAATAAACGGAACTCTCCACTCGGTATGGATTGGTCAGACCACACCCATCTCCAGTATCTTGTGGTGCAACCGCACTTACAAAATCAACCAACAAGCTGACAAATAGTACACAATGTGAGTGTATTGCATTTCACTTCTGTCTTGATGAGGACTGTTTGAGTGTGTGCTGCTCGCTTGCTGCTACGGACCCAGCTTCAGCAAAGCCAACAACATTCATCATCTGTTTCAGGACAGGGCAATGACTGATGAACACACACCTCTGGAACTTTTCCTTTGACATTTTTACCTATTGGTGACATTCAGCTGGAAGTGTGTGCATTTAGTCAAGCGTACAGATGCACTCAGCTAGAGAAATGGCTTCTGCTTACTATTTTACTCATTAACCCTATGATTAGAAGCAAAACACAAAACATCCTGTTTTGTGTTTGTGTTGTTCACTATACCGTTGCTACAAAATTATTTGGGGGATATTACTAATCATACATGTTATTAAAACAAAAGCAGAGCATCTTCCCCACATTTGAGGCCATGGACGCCACAAACTTCCTATTTTTGGAAAAGGGCAACAGAGGACAGGGAAGGCTTGCTGGGGGAGGAAGTATTTCTACCTATTTCTACCTACAATGTAAAAGAAATGTGACAGATAGGTTGAATAATCAATCCATGGCAGAAGGAGGACTCTTTAAAGAACTCATCCATGGCAGGCATACACTGTTTCAGTTAGCTGAAATGATCAAACATTCTCTCACTCTTTCTGTTTGATTAAGGTATAATGTATTGTTACGGTGTGCCATGATGTGAATTTAAAACTTGTCTTAAATATTAAAAAACGTCATTAGCACTGTGACTTTTGAAATTATAAAATACAGCAGTAGTTGAGCTAATAATTAAAAAATAAATTATGAAGCAGTTGCAGCGAACAACACATTTAATTGACATTAAATTCAGCATTAAATGTTCAAATGAGAGTTCTTAGAACAGGATATAAGATTTTAGAAATGCTGCTTTGACTCCACTGTCTTTGTGTGTCTTTCTGACCTCATCCGCTCACGTGTCTGGTGGGAGGGACTAAGACACGTGGACAGGAGTCAAAGACAAAAATTAAATATTTGCAACTTGGGAAATAAAAAAGAGGCATGTTCTAGTTTTACTTTCTACTCTTTTCCCTCCTTTGTAATTGTGTGCCCCGTTTGTCCTTTGTCTGTTTACCTTGTGAGTTTATTTTTCTGTGTTCCTGTGTGTATTGTTGTATACCCAGTGCCTACGTTATCACATTTGGCTTACTTTTTTTTCTTTGTTACTTCCTTTGAACTTTCTGAGAACCGTTGCAATCCTTTTTTTAAAATAAAACCTTGCTTTTTGTTCCTCTCACTGAGTTCTTGGATTTACCTCGGAACTGATCACAATCACTTAAAGATATTTTTAAGCAACCTAATAATCTGTACAATATGAATACAATAGCAGCTAAAAGTCTCAAAAGTGGGTCCAGTACAGGTTATCTTTCTTTTCTTTTGTTTTTTTCTCAGCTTGGGTAGAGAAGGAGACTTATTATTTATTATTTAGTCATTGGGAACTCTCAAGGGGCCGCAATGCAACATGGTCATGATCAGTGTAATCAACTTCTTCTGTACACTCTGCACACTGTGTGAGTACCTGGTCAGGAGAGATGTTGCCCTCCGCTGCTACCAAAGCTCTCAGACTGGACAGGGAGCCAAACAGCGGTACAGCCAGCCCCACTCGCAGATGCCTCTGACCCTTTGTGTTGAACACCAACGTCACACACATTGGCCTATGAGATAAAAAGAGGAATAAAGGGTGTGAGTGTGTTTTTCTGTAAGGGAAGAAATGGTAGAGCACACTGGGAAAGATCAATACATGCTCATGAACACAGCAGTAAGTTATTCTGCATTTTTGTTTACATTGTTACATATTTTAAACTCTGGCATGCTGAGTTATTTATACAATATATTTGTATGCAGATACACACACGTCTTTCTTACATAGTGTGAGTAAAGACACGTACATATAAATCTTAACTGGAAACTGACTAATCCAACTGTGCAGCATTCAAAAATGCCAGGGGCAACAAAAACACATTGGTTTGTTAAAGAGACGCTTTCGGGGATAGCTGGGTCTTCATGAACTCCAGGTATCAAACAGCAAAATAAAACCGTTGAGCTGTTTAATATCTAATCAGTTCAGGGAAAAGATTTCCTCTGACACTGTTATATCAAATCTAATTTCATGAGCATAAAACATCACTTTGTCTGCATCTCATTTAATATCTCCTATGATTTAACTCGTCAGATTTCACCTCCGAAGGGTTTCATCTCTCCCTAGTGTTTGTCCAGATTTATGCATGACTGGGCAAGCGGAGCAAAACCCCTGCAGGTCCCTCAGGAAGCGGCTGTATGCTGGGACATGTCACAGCAATATGAACACTTTCTGGGAAGAATCAAGGAGTGAAAATGATTGCGGGGTGGGTTTGGGGTGGATTGGGACAAAAAGAAAAAAACAAAAAACAGGAGTCAGTCTGATCCAAAAACTGAGAAAACTGATGGATGAGTAGGAAGAAAAGCCCTGATAGGCTACTGGGTCTACCCTCTCTACTTATCTATATCTTTGCTCTCAATAATCCCTATTCATCATTAATTAATTCATTACCAGATTACAAAGACTTTTTTTTCTAGTGACATCTGAAGAAGTTAAGACCTAAGTTAAGAAGTTCAAGCAACACGTGTATTTATCATGTGGAGCATGATGAATCCAGTATGCTCATGAAACAGTCAGCGCTTGTATTTTTTAAGAATGCTTAAGGTCCATGGTCCATGTTAATGCCGTTTTGGCACTTGGTTTGGTAACCTTTCTGCAAAGCTCAGATCACAAATTCAAAACTCAATTAAAATGCCTGGAATAATTAGCATTCTTCTCCATCTTCTCTCCAGGAGATACTCGAAAAGCAGAGATGGAAAATCGCTGAAAATCACTGATGATATAAATTGCATCCTTTATAAAGAGTAAAGGTATAAAGTGTTTTTAGTGTCATGATCAATTACTAAATGGTAAAAAGTGCAGCTTGACTGTGTGTTGGTATGTGTGCTACCTTACATGTTGTGTTTCTGTCATTTATCAAATATACATTTCTCCCAAAGGAGACATTAAAGGCGACTCTAATCTAATGTAATTGTTACGACTGCTGTTGTATTGTTGTCTAATATGAAAATCCCAGTATGCAGGTGCCTCTCCGTGATTGGTGGATCCAGAGGACGGACCATACGGATTGGCTAATGAGTTGGAAATGACATATGTCACAGGTTTTGAACTCCAGGCCTCGAGGGCTGGTGTCCTGCAGGTTTTAGATGTGTCCTTGATCCAACACAGCTGATTTAAATGTTTAAATGACCTCCTCAACCCCTCCTAAGTCTTGAAGCTCTCCAGAGGCCTGGATATGAACTAATCATTTGATTCAGGGTCATATATAAAACCTGCAGGACACCAGCCCTCAAGGCCTGGAGTTCGACACCCCTGACTTATATGATGACACCGCCATGGTCTCCCATTCATTCATCCTTGGCTCTTCCCAACCAGCAGACCTTTGGAAACATGCCCAATGCTGTTCACCATATACAGGAATGTGCAGGGGTGGACTGCCTTTTTGTTTGATTATAGTTTTCTTCTGTTTTTCTTAATGAGTGAAGCAAGCTGTTGTCATTTGGTTTGATTCTTTTGATTAGGTAAGGATTGGCATTAAGTCCACCCCGAAGCTATAACCAACTCCTTTTTGGTGTCAAAAAACCTAACGAGTCAACATATTGTAAATAAATCATTATCAAACTGTACCAATTGTGTGATGTGGCTGCTTGGGGTCTGACAAGGATGGATCACCCTCATGTTGTGGTCCAGCCACACCTAGATGGGCCATAACATAATCTAATCTAATCCAAAACACACAATGTAAGATGTAGGTAAAATCGTTTTAAAAAATAGTTTTATCCTTCTACTGTACAATGTGGCCACTTTGCTTTGCAACCAAACCACCTTCAAAATGTAAAAATGACCAAAGGACAGTTTATTTAAGGTGTGGGTGTCACCATCAAGCATCAATAGATTTTTTTCTGACACATGTTCACAGGAGCAAATTTGCACAACCTTAAAAATCTTATTAAAAATTACTTATGAAGTGGTAATCATTAATGAAATGACACAAAATTACCCAATAAATGCTGAGGCTTTGTTGTCATTGCATATCATTAAAATATTTCCAGGAGAGGGTTAAAATGATAAGGAAAAATCTAAAATACAGAAGACATTAAGGAATCCCTTCATGGCTTTGTACTGTGCTTTGCTGTTGAGTGTTTGTTTGCTACTGATTATTACAGAGTAAAGAGAAAAACTCAGAGCGAGGAGTGAAAGTAAAGTTGCGCCATCCCATTTGGAAAGAAGGTAGTGTAATCGCTGACACCTCCACTTCCTGTTTCTCCTCATGCATTATTCAGGTTAATAAAGTGTTAGCAGTAGGGATGCTGACAAAGCAGATGGCAGAGTATCTGAGCAGTTGTTTTGTGTATGTTACTCCAAGACGAGATGAGAAGTGTGGGATGACACTTGAGACGAATCGGAAATGGAGATGTCATCCTACAAAGCCGTCTTTTTGAAGCATCCTAGCTCTCTGTGGGTTTAGAGTCTGATAGTCTCGATTAAACAACAACCTGCGAACCGCAACAAGTGCACAGAACTCAAAAACATTCAAAGTGCTCTTAAGCTTGATGCTAGATATATAAATGATATTTATAGTTATTTTCTTGAGCATTGCTGCAGTGCTTTGCCAGTTTAGATGCTTACATGTACTATGAGCATGAACTTTTTTTTCAGAAAGTGCTTGTTTGAAATATTATTTCTATCGCATTAACATGTATAGTGGTGTTACTATTGTGCATCGTCTGTTAAAAGTCTGTGAGCACGGTCTCTTCACATAGACAGCATCAGTGTTACACACATGCCTTGGAGGTCAGAGGCCATCCAAAAAGGTCACTGTGGTCTTTCAGCTGCATTCTGATCCCCAATATCCTTTTACAACTATATGTTAAATCAAGTTAGTATGGTAATGAAAAAAAGGCAGCACAGTGGTGTGATGGTTAGTGCTGTTGCCTCACAGCAAGACAGTCCTTCGTTTAACTACAAATAGTCTCTTTTCTTTTTGCCTCTCCAATAAAAGATGGATATTTTTGCACATTTCTCTATGAGCGTACTATCTGTTTATGGTTGTAATTAATCACATAATTTAGGTGCCCCTTTTAATATGTTTATTATCATATGATTGATGCTTGTAGTACTATTCTATGTGTAAATTAAGTGGGTCTTAAAGTGTACTTCAATTTATAATGTCTGTTTTGTCAAACGACATAAGCAAGAGTGTGAATCCACTCTGTATTTTTATTTGATTTCATTTTTTATTGAATACCTAAGTGACTGGAGCCACATGTCCCCGCTACTCTGGCACCCACACTGCATAGACGTTGACAGACTTGTATGAATTGATCGGGAAAAGGTTTCCACTCGCAAATGACCTTTTAAGCAAACGTGGTTGTCACCAAAGCAAAGCACTTACATTTTTCCTTTTGCATTTAGTGGTTGTTGCAGTTGTTCTTACATAACTTAAGACATTAGAGCAAGGCAAACATTTTAAAAGAGAGCCAATCACTCCTATAGCGCTACTGAATTTGGCTGTTTTTCTTTTTAAAAAACAGGAGAAAACAGAATTTAAAGACAAATTGCAGCAAAATGAGGGTTTTTTTTCATTCATTTGTTTATTTTTGTTGGCAAAACTTGTTGCTTGCATTATTCACAACTACTCCCAGCCCCAAATAATACAGACGTCAGTGATTTCACTTGGGGTGTTTCATCACACTTCATGCAGCTACCTGTGGAGCCACAAAAGCTTTATATTTGCACGGCATCATGTTTTTCATGTTCCCACCTGCAGTCCTGCATTATGATAGTGTATCTTTGTCAAAAATTAAATATCTGTGCCACTTGATATTCCCCTAGAAATTAATAACTGGAACAGCAAGATACAGTTGGATAAGAACTGATCAGTGTGTGAGATTTGTAATACAAAACCCCCCCCCAAATAATTAAAAAAAAACAACCATTACAAGTCAATTCAAAGAAAGCTAATTTTATGACAGCATTAAAAGCATTATGAGACCTGCTACAGCCTGCTGATGTTTAGTTTACTCCTGTGTATTTCAAAGTATCGCTTCAGTCATTTTTCCAGTCTGTCTGTCACAGCCTTTTACTCTTATGTAACAGGAAGTATATCAGGTTGTAATTGTTTTGCCTATCCACTCATGATTTTCACACCTTGTGTCAGTCATTATAGTGATTACATACAGTGTGGTTATGAAACAAGCACTTGTACAATTACAAAATGAGAAACAGGCTTCATCCAATAAAATACTATATACACCTGTGCAGCCTAACAGTATTGTTAGAGCCTACCCATATGACAGATACCCAATGAAAACTCATATCTACAACTACAGCCACTTAAGAATAGTAAGTTAACCTAAAATGCAAGTCTTGGGAATCTACAGACTTCACACAGAAAGGCCCCAGTGATGGCTGCACAGTAGACTGAAGTCATGTGACAGATTTGTGTTTAGAACTTTTTTGACTATTTTAAATTGAATAACAGTAAGCTTGGTATCAATGATGCCACGACTGCTCAAGGTTAAATATTGTAAAGTTAGGTGATCGGCAGAAAACATTCCCATTCTGCTTTTCTCATTCTCTCTGCCATACTGGCATTATCTACAGCACCCAGGCCTTGATGCCATGCTGGCAGCCAGACCCTTCTGTCTCTCTGGGGGTCTCAGACTTATCAGCATTCAGCTGGGATACTGCTGCAGCAGGACGGTGCAATGAGGCCACTGTGTGTGTGCATGCATATGTGTGTGTGTCAGGTCAATGTTTGGCCAGCAGTAAGTTCAAGCTGAACCTGAATGAATTTCTCTGTGTGCTAGGCTATGGCAACTGCAGGAACAGGCTGCATACTGTCACGAGACAGTGAGTGCCTGAGCTGCAAAAATGAGTTTGGAGTTAGCTTGGTGGATGCAGAGAAGATGCAGAAGAGTGACATCTGCATTCCTGAAAATAGGAAGATTCATTGTGTAGCAAATGAAGGCAAACTGAAAAGCTTCCAAAGCCTGGAATATATTAATGCATTTAACCTAATGTAACCTGTTACTGTTAACTGACCTTGAATGTGACTGTGAATGGTTATCTGTTTCTCTGTGATACACTGAGATACACTGGCAACCTGTCCAGGGTGTACGCTGCCTTTCACCCCATAACAGATGGCTTAGACTCCAGCATATTTCATGTCTTTTTAGATGCTTTTTGTAGGGGCGAACATTTGTGAAAAAGGGAGATTGCATATGAATATTATAGGACAAAATCTACAGTGTTGTACCCACTACTGTATAACCTAAATTCAACTGCACGTCATTTTGGATAATTAGACTGAAGCTTAGTTTGAATGTGAATTAGAGCTTTGATATAAATCCCTGGTCCATCTGCAAATGAGAATGATATAAGTCTAATTTGTAGCACAACAACTGGTGAAAAAAGTTAATCAAACTTCCCATACAGTTTTAAGAAGAGATCTAATCAGGCAAAATACTTTAAATCAGCACCTCTCCACACGAGTAGAACTATCAGTTATTCAGAGTCAAGTTAATGTCTAGGTAAAGTTAATTCAGCTGAATGAAAAGTAATTAATTTGCAATCATGAACCCACACAGCTAGTAATGCATTTTGTATGTATGGTGAAAACTATCAGTGATGTGTGGATGAGGTTGCCTGTGTTGCTGTGCCTCTGCTACTTCATTTGGATGGCAAGAAAACAGGTGTCTCGTACGATTTTTGTTGTTCCTTGTATTCCTTCACCATTATCTCTGCTGTCAAAATAAAACATCCCATCTGACTCTATTGCTAGCTCCCTTTCTCCCCGCTCACACGTCAGAGCCGCACTGTTTTACCACAGAACCTTGCTGGCATGCAGCTTCTTGGGTTAAAAATGGAAGCACAGGAAGTGTGTGGTCAGGAACCTCGGTTGACCAGCATTTATCACTTTGATATGGACATGGCTGTTTTTGGTGTATAGAGCATGTTAGTATAAATGCATGCATGTTTTTCTATAATCTAAATTGGCAACATTTTGGAATGTTTTGCGGTGTTGTTTTTCTAATGTTTTTATTTACTTATGGAGCCTAGAAGGTACTATCCATATCACTGTTATCTGGTGACAACCTCATATGTTCACAGTGTCAACTGTCAAAAAGCCAAGAAAAGGTTTTACATGACTGCACAGCAATCTGTGAGGGATTTTCCTTGCACACCAGACTATTGTAGAAAGTTTGAAACACTTGCACTAAAACTTAACACCTTTAGAGACCACAGGGAGACCAAAGTGAACAACTAAAAATCTGCACTAATGTTTAATTAAAGATGCCGAGAACAAGCAAAATGCAGTTTGTGAAGTTAAAAAAAAAAAACTAGTTTGTTTTTTTAAAAATAAGTTGTTACCCTATGCTCATAATAAGTTATATTGGATGTTATAATTAGTAAACAAACAGCAACAAATATACTTTAGACTGGATCTCATGCCTTATGTATCATGCATTACCTGGTTTGTCGTAGAGGAATAGGCAGAGAGATGCATAAAAATGGATCAAAGGTGTTGCTCTGCTTAAGGCAATGGGGGCACGTCAGAGAAGACCTGGGGACAGAGAGACAGACAGCTTTTTTAATCAAAAGGTATCAATCCATCCACCCAATCATCCATCCATCATCCATCCATCCATCCAATCATCCATCCAATCATCCATCCATCCATCCAATCATCCATCATCCATCCATCCATCCATCCAATCATCCATCCATCCATCCATCCATCCATCCATCCATCTTCTTCTGCTTATCCAGTTCAGAGTTACAGGTGGGCTGGTGTCTATTCCAGCTGTCATAGGGCAATAGGGAGAGTGCAACCTGGATTGCTAGTATTTTGCAAATTTATTTATTGGTTAAGGTCAAGGTCAAATTTATTTATATAGCACATTTCCAGACATACAATGCTGCACAAAGTGCTTAACAATATAAAAATGCCATTAAAAATAAACAATGTAAAACAATAATAACAATATAAAACAATGAAAGGGCAATAAAATAATTAAAACAATAACTAAGACTATTAAAATAAGACCAAAATGCTTGGGTCATAGTGTGTTAAAAGCCAGGGCATAAAAATGTCTTTAGTAATGATTTAAATTGATCAAGTGTTTGTGCAGATCTAATATTTAGGGGAAGACTATTCCAAAGTTTGGGACCTGCCACAGAGAAGGCTCTATCGCCACAAGATTTGAGATTAGTCCGTGGGATGGACAGCATTAATTTTGAGCTAGACCTCATGGTTTTTAATTTAATACTTTGTTTGACCTCAGCTAATCATGCTTTTTTTATGTAATTGTCTTAAGAAATTTGCAAACACATATTTTTTACCCTCTACAACACTGTGAGGCAGCTCACAAGCATTAAATATTCCAAAGATATTTAATAGCAGAAGGAATGGTGATGGGGGTTAAAGTAGGGGAAAACCTGAAAACAAAGGCTCAAAAATAAAGGTCAGCAGGCACAGGAGGCCGAAAGGCAGAGCAAATAAAAGTTAAGAACAAAGAGACGAAAATAAAAAGACAACAAAGTGGGAGTACAGATTAAAAACGAACAGAAGGCTGGCAGCAGGACAGTCAAGTTGACAAAAGCTACGAAGCAAAGCCGATAGAGAAAAAAGACACAGAAGGGACCTGTCGAGGTTTCTGAACAAACAGAAGTGAAGATGATCAGAGTGGAGGACTGACACGAGGATAGAAACCCAACATGCGGGCCTTTAGCAACAACAATCTACACTAAAAAGCAGATATAAATGACGCTGTTAAACAAATAAATGCATTATGGTGAGCATGCTTGTTAGCTTACTGACCAAAACTTATACACATTTTTCAGCTTTGTTTTTTCCTGCAAGGCTACTTATAAAGATGGAAAGCATGACAGTTTCCCAGAAAAGAATCCAAATTATTTTGCTTGCCAAATCCGATTTTTTTTTTACCCTATGCGACCCATATCCGATCATGGTATGACAGTGTGAACGGCACAAATCCGATATTTTCAAATCCGATTTGGGTCACTTTCGTATGTGGTACTGAATCCGATACATAGCCGATGTTTTAGAAAGCGACTGCTGTTTGAACGGTCATGTCGCATCAAATCCGTCTTTTACGTCACTGACACAAGACAGACGCCAATTATCAGCGCCTGCGAAGACATCGTGAACGCTTCCTGGCCATCCAGCGAAACTCTTGGGAAGACAACGTGAACATTTTATTTGTACTGTATAATCTGCAGATTCTGACAGAAATCTGCAGCTATCCTTTGAAGCACCGCTCCTCTCTAAAACAGCAATAAGGATAATTATTAGGTTATTTACATTATTATGTAAATAACAAAATAACTTAAAGCAAAAATTGGGAAACGTAAAGTCCGAAGTCTTTATATTAACGGCCATCAGTCAAGCAATACTGTTTGCTCTGGGTCTAAACAGAGCGCGTTGTGTGTGACGTCTTCTTTGAGCGGGACGCTTTGAGCGTTCACACTAGAGCGCGTTGCTGTCGCATTTTATTTGTAGTGTGAACAAGCAGACAAAAAAAAATCGGATTTGATCAAAAAATCGGAATTGAGCATTAAGAGACGGGAGAAACACCCTTCAGCAACGTGTTATTGGTGTTGATGTTGCATAGTTCATCCACCAGGGGACACTGTGCAACTACTGTGATGGGAGCACACCTGAAAAATACCACCAGATAATCTGAGCATATAGGAGCACATATGTAACTACAACTAAAAAAAATTAATTCACCAAATACCCATACCAGCAGTATTGGTCTTAAAAATACCATATTATAGATCACACTAATGGCTGTGTGTCCAGGTGTTTGGTAGTCATCATCATGTTTTTGCTGTAAATATTACCAGGAATTGTTTGCAGGATGTGTCTACAAAAATAGGCTGTAGTATGGCCCACAACCCTCTGCCAACCAATAAGTACATGGATATCGGCATGAAAGTACAGGAAGTACAGCAAATTACCAGTTATGCAAGGAATTTTCTAAGTTTTTCCTTTAGTTTGAAATCCACAATCTAGCCTCAAATAACCTTTTGTCATTCTCTACACGTAAATGCAATCTAGCCTCTTATGTGGCAATCAAAGAAAAACACCATGTTCAGTGTGTTCTAGTGCCACGTAATCCTCTCATAGTGTGGGAATGTAATCCTATTATTCATTTGAGATAACTGAATGTAATTCAACAGCTTTGCTCAGTTTATGAACTCATTTTGAAGTTGTAGCCAATATCAAGGCGCTTATTCACACTGTTTTCTATTCAACCAGTTTCTCAGAACTAACTCAACAGAGCGGAGGAGAATTACAAGAAACCATTTATCTCCACCACAGCGAACGCCATTATGTTTTATAGGTGTGAAACTGAAAAAGGCTTCTGAAGAGTTTTCTTTTTAGGTAGTTAACATTTCAGAGGGTGAGTGTGGATAAAACTCAGAATTTGTTTAACTGGAATTGTTTAATGTGTTTGCTGTTTTTAAGTCTGATTGATGCTGCTTAATGCTCTCTTATCACTGACAGCATTCAGGGTGTGTGCACATTTACGAGCGCGTGCGTTGCCAGATGCTGCTACGTCTTACTCCAATTTGTCAGTTGAGCTGTAACGATGTTTTCAGAGATGCAAACTTGTCAAATATACAAATACGATGGAAAAAATAACAGTTTTTAAACTCCACATTTCCTTGCTGTCAGTGCTCAGCCCAGTGTGCTGCGGCAGCCAGCCTAAGGCTCACTAATGATGCCAGTTTGTACTCGGCAAAGCAGACTGACAGGCTATATTCACAAAAACACAATGTTGTGCACCCCCCCCCCAAAAAAAACAAAACAAACAAAAAAAAAACTTGCTTGCGCTTACATTGAAACGTGCACGCAGGAAAACCCACACACAAACAAAAAGCATCACTTAAAAAGCTCGAGGCTGGCAGTGTTTCCAGTCTGGTGAACGATATGAGAACTTTATTTGCTGATGTCTGTGCATGTGTGTTTGTGCGTCTGACAAAAAGCAAGCGTTGTACAGCATCTACAACGCTCAGGTGCCAAATCAAAGGACCACCAGTCTTTAGTTTAAACCAGACACCCGGAGCTACAACACATACACCCACACACATGCACAGCAGCAGCTTCCTTTATTTATCATCAAGAAAGTCGAACCACCCGGCATCCCGCCGTCCTGCTCCGAGCTATATAAATAACACTCCGCCAGCAGCATCTCAAAACGTTATGCGGTAGCACGTTGCCTGATTCCAGCATTTTTCATACTGTTATTCCAAACTGGGAAGCTTTGCAGCACAACGCCAGAAATGATATAAAGACGGCATGTGGCTGGAACAACAGGTCAGGATACGGCTATATGAGCATAAAAGTCATGTGATCTAGAAAAAGCACTGTGCATGCTGGTGGAAGGCAGTGCTTTCAAAAGTCTGGCAACAGCTGTAGCTTCATTTTTCGAAATGTATTTCTGAGCACAGTCAGTTACACACACACACACACTCTCTCTCTCTCTCTCTCTCTCTCTCTCACACACACACACACACACACACACACACACACACACACACACACACAGAACTAACAACAAAAACATCACTGTTTAGTCACTGCAGCAGCTGCCTTTATCTAAATACTTCCTTTCATAAAGTCTAGAGTGTGATTCTAGTAGGTTCAGTTAAATTGTTAAGTGATTTATTTTATTTATTTTGTCTTCTGGAAAAAAGGCTCCCGTCTGTTACACAGCAGCAGGATTACTCTGTACTCTGAATCATGGTTTGAAAAGTTTGCCTTCAGGGCTTTTTGTTTGTTTTTCTTTCAGATTATTTTTAGTTTTCAATCACATTTTTCGGACATCTGCTAAACCCATCCACAGCATACCTGGGGCTGCAATAAACATCATAGTTCTCTATAAGTCATTGCTTCTACTGGGACTGAGAGAGAGAAAGCAAGTTCATTTTCTTCTGTCTGCCTTTCAGTCAGTCAGTCAGTCAGTCAAGTGTCACAGGCTCTGGGCTGGAGAGCACTCTTATTTCTCTAAGAGAGAGTACAAGTGGAGACCTCCCGTCAAGGGAAATTAACTCAGCTAAAGGACTGCAGAGATTCTCTCGCACATGCTCACATTTAAAGTCTCATACAAACTCTCACTTTACTAAGTATTAATTCCCAGACCCCCCAACCGCCCACCCCCACCCGTAGTTTTAGAGAAAATTGCCTCTGTGTCACCTGCATACATATGAGCTTCGTCCTTCCTACCTGAAATAAATGATCCATACGTTTCTTCATGTTAGCCCGTGCAACAAATAACGGAGGGAAACATGACTGCACTTTCCCATTTTTCACTGCTAAAGCAGTTTTAAAAACTAACTGTAAAAGAAAAAAAAAATAATGCAACAGATTTTGAGCACTGCAGCATTTTGAATCATGGCTTCTCGTTCTTTCTTTTTAGCTTGGCTAGTTTCAGGTGGAAATTCATTCTCTGACTTTTTGCCTCATGTATCTTAGTTTGGGTCAGCCAGAGATGTTCACTTCATTCACATAAATTAATAAAGTTTTAAGGAAGG